CTCACCATGGGGCTAGTGGGACTGTCTCCAGGGCCACTGCGGTGGGCATCATGAGGCCACACAGCCACCCACCTCCCAGCATGGAGCTGCTGCCACGCGAGCCCCTTCCCTGCCCATCCCACTCTGATCCCAGCTCTTCAGCCCTGCTGTGCCCGTCTGCCCCCAGAGCTGCACTGCTCACCCCCAGCTCCCCAGGGAAGCCCCCCGGGCCATGTGCAGAGGATGTGGGCTACAGCGGGCTGGGCTGGGCACGCTCCAGTCTGGTAGGGAGCAATGCCCATTCCAGAGGCTGTCAGCTCCCGGTGCCCCTGCCGATGGCAGCTCCTGCTCCCGGCTGCCCAAAGCTGCAGTGTGCCCTTTTCCTTCCCGTCCTCCAAAACTCGTCTCCTTCTCCCCAAAAGCCAAGGAGCTTGGTCCGCAGAATGGCCCCCCCCTGCCATATCGGTGGCAATCTGGAGATGCTGCTGTCCCCTTCTCCCTCCCGGGCTGCGCATCCCCACGCCAGCCTGGCTGCAGGGTCTCCTGCGGGATAGCCCTGCCCCAGCGTTTCCTGGGTGAGGGAAGGATTTGGCCCTTGGGATATAAGCCCCATCCGCTCACAATAAGCCATCACATTCGCTGCCTTCTCCAGCAGAAATGTAGAGTTTTGCTCTAACTGGGGAAGAAGCCGGTGAGTCCCTCCAGGACAAAGCAGCATCCAAGGGGTGACACAGACGTTGGCATCGGTGTCGGCTGCCCTGTGACTGCAGATCACTGCTTGGCCATCTGTGGAGGAGCCCGATTTCATGAGCATGGAGCCACCACAGCTCTGGTTCCTGCAGGCAGTGAGGAGTTGGGATGTTCCCGGGGCAGGCAGGGTGACGGCCGTGGGACCGGTGGGACCGCGCTGTCCCCGGGCAGGCTGTGGTGGGATGCACACCCTGAGATGGGGGGCTGAAGGGATGCTTCCTAGACATTTTGATTTCTGGGAAGACACTTGGAAGCGGGAAAGTGTATTTTAGCCCAGATTGGTTTTCCAGGCTGGATTCCCCCTGCCCTGGCCCAGGAAGGAGACCGCAGGACAGGGTCAGCGCCGCGCAGCGCGGGATGCACTGCTGCCTTTCCAGCAGCCACGCTGGGTTAAAGGCAGCCAGTCCGCAGGCTCTCCCCATCCATCCGACCGTCCTCTTTGCACCACAACTCCACGTTCGTGTTGCAGGTATCTGCGTTTAGCCCAGCTCTGCAACAGCTTTGGCACACGAGCTTGGGAACATCTCGGTTGGCTCCGGCACTGTGGCACCCCACGAGATGGCAAAGACGTGCAGGCCCGTGCCTGGCACAGCAGTCAGGGGCTGTGGGTGGGTTTCTTGTTTGTTCCATGCCCTCAGCAAAGGAATCATCCCTAGGCTGTGCTGGGACTGCCCCAGGGAGGCTTTGGCTGGGCAGGCAGGTTGGCTGGGAGCGTCAATGTCAGCTTGAGGTGGTTTAGCTTCAACGCCTTTAATGGTGTTTGTTTTCCTCTGGGTGGTTTGACAGAAGAGGGTTAATAACGGGGCCAGCATGTACACGCACACCAACGAGGTTCGGGCAAAAATCCCATCACTGGCCTGGGTTTAAATCCAGAGCTCCAGACCAAGGTCCCAGCAGCTCCACTCCCCCGGGGCCAGGAGGTGCCCGTGGAGCAGAGTCACTGCCCCAGGGAGCCACGGGCACAGCCCACCAGCTCCACGCTGTCCTTCTTCCAGGGCACACGGCGGTTCCCAGAGAGGTGTGGGAAGATTCACACGGCGTGACCCTCTGTTCCAGCAGGGAGCCACCTCCAGGCACCCACCACCATGTCCAAGGACGACGTTGGCTGCAAGCTGACCTCAGTCTACAAGCACAAGGAGAGGAAGCCAAAAAAGCCCCACTACATCCCAAGGCCCTGGGGCAAACCATACAACTACAAATGTTTCCAGTGCCCCTTCACCTGCATGGAGAAGTCCCACCTCTACAACCACATGAAGTACAGCCTGTGCAAGAACTCCCTCTCCCTCCTCATCGAGTCTGACTGGCCCTACAAGAAGGGCAATCTGCTCCACCCGGAGCTGCGGCTCCTGCACGCAACGGAGAGCTCCCGCCTGCGTGGGCGGCGGGACGAGCAGGAGACCTGTGACTCCTCGGCCATGTCAGGAGGGTCGGTCAGGAGCAAGCAGGGCTCCGGCCGGGATGGACACGAGGACAAGCCGATGTCAGGGGTGGAGATCCTGCCTGCTGAAGGGGCTGGTGAAGAAGGTGGCCCATTCCAAGAGGAGGAGGAGGATGTTGCTGGCCTGTTGAGAGAGATGGATGCAGGGGAGAAGAAAGAGAAAAACGAAGAGGCAGGTTGCCAAGGTGACCCAGCTGAACCAGAAGTGAACACTTTGGTCTTTGGTTTCAAGAACAAGAGGGACAAGCCTTGCAAGGAGGTGGAGCCCGACTTCATCATCACAGACGTCTTCTCTCTCAAGAACCACGTCGTGAAAAGCAGGGAAATGGCCTCCCCAGACCTCGATGCTAAGCCAAAGCATTGCAAAGTGCCAAAGAAATGCCTGGCCAGCAGCGGGATCCTCATGGAGCAGTGGAAGCTGGTGGCAAATGGGCAAAGGAGGAACACACCTGAGGTCTCTCCACCTTGTACCGACAGCAACATCATCCCGTGCTACCCTCCTCCAGCCTACGGCGACTACCACGAACCTCAGGGCCTCAACCTCTCACTGCTGGGTATCAACTACCCGTTAAACCCCAGTCTCTTCTCCTACCTGAGCCCAACCATGGCCAACAGTGCTACGACGCACCCGCACTTGGCTCAGCTGCCCTTCCTGGCCTCCACGGCCCAGCTGATGCACCCCCATGCCTCCCACTTCCAGCCTCTGCAGAGCCCCGAGCGCTCCACCTTCCTTCCCCGCTTCTACTACCCCTTGCTCTTTGAGCACACCTTCGGCACCACTGAAAGCAAGATGTCCTCCAGCAAGCCAGAAGCCCAGCAGCTGGTGGGCTCTGTCATGCCCACGCCACCCCAAGCCAAACCTCCCAGTGAGCCAACCAAACCAGGGTTGCTGAAGGTACCGGTTCTGAAGACAAGTTTTCCTTGGTCCAAAGGGCTCAGAGAGGAGCCAGCCTCTGAGCTTGGCCACTCTGCCATGCTGGGGCAGGAAGAAGAGGAGAAATGGCTGTCCCAAGAGAAGGAGAGCAACCCAGCTTTGGGCCTCAACAACCTACGCAAAAAGCCAACCACTGATATCTACCAAAACGTGGTGGGGATGAAGGACGGTGCTTTTGCCCCGAGCAGCGTCCGGAAGACAGAGTTACCGGTGGTGACCTGTCTGGAGACCAGCAGCCCCCCAGGCAACTCCTTGAAGAGGAAGTTCAATGCCAATGGGATGGATTTGATAGGACCCGAAAGGCCGACGCCTGGAAAATTCAGCTACCAGAGCAGGTAAGGTGCCTGTGATCTCTCTGCCTCTTCCTCACATCTGGTTGGCCCTAAACATCATCATCGTCATATCCCGTTGTATTACCGATCCCCCCACTTGCCTCTAAACCATGAGATGAGTCTCCAAGGGCTGAGCCTGCTCCAGGCTGGTGGTCCACACCAATGCCCGCTCCAGGACCAAAGGAGCTGAAGAGCCTTCAGGTGTGTCCAAGCACCTGGGCTACATCACCACTCGCCGCCCCTCGCTTTCCCCTGTTTCGTACAGAGACAGAAGCGATGTGGTGTCCGTGCGGTGTGGACCTGCCCTCCCCAGGCACCAGGAAATCTCCTCTCGGGTCCTCAGGTATCCCAGGGTTGCTGGAACAATCATCCCCTATTTTTAAACACACACATTTGCATTCCTTTGATTTGCCTTCTGGTCTCAAAGTCCAGAGGGAGGGTCATGCTTCCAAACATTTCCTTTTTACCTGGGGCTAGAAATGTGCACAGCTCCTTTTAACAAAATTTCAGTTTCTCCCCTGGTTGTGCAAGTCCAGCTGTGGCTCCGAGAAAAATGTCACTGTAAACCCCACCATTTTTGGCACCCGGAGGAGCTTTCGCTGGGGAAGCTCTCCATGGTTTTCTGTCTCCGCCTGCCTCTTCCTTGCTCTCAGGCTGGCTGGAGAGATCCCCTCCAACCGGGCCTTCAGGACTGTGGGATGGTCATTTCCATCAACGTTCTCCGTTGCTCCAAGAAGAAGGAGAATCTAGGTGGGATCGCTTCTCAGCATCATCTCCCCAGATCAGTCTCTCCCTTTGCTGGTGGCTGTCATGAAATAGCCTGTGCCAGGGTCCAGCCACCTCCTGGGAGAATGGTGCCAGGAGCAGGTCCAGCCAAGGCTCTCCATGCTCAGACCAAAGCCCTTCCTGGAAGGTGGCCATGCTGGCAGCAGACAGCGGAGGAACTCTGGCTGAATCTGGCAATGCTGGCCCT